CAATTGGACAAATACATATATGAGACCCTAAAGGAGCAATACGACAAGCACGAAGTGGCAGACGCGAACTTTCGACGTCTTAGCTATGTGCGATAAGCAGATGACTTTGTGATCGGGATTACCGGCCCTCTTCCTGACGCAATTGAGATACGTGATCTTATATCGACCTTTCTAAGTACGCTCGGACTAGAGCTAAACAAAGAAATTAAGATATCACATATTGATTCCGGATTCTTCTTCCTAGGTACCCAAATAGTGAACCTTGGGTGGCTGATAATTTATTCTTCCCTCCCTGTCAGCCATTGGCTTTAGACCCAAAGAACAACAGATGACCTTACTAACGCAGATAAATGTCTGATGTGCACCATGAATAGTGCAGAAGATCTGGTACACTGCCTTCTCAGATGCAAAGAGGTCAAATGGTACTAGGCTTACGATCTCTAGCAGTGCCTTTTCTCCAAACCATCCGGATCTCACCCGTTAGCCATCCTCGTGTGTATAGACCTCCCTTCCCTCCACTCCCTAAACAGAGAGGACCTGGTTCGGTCTGATAGGAACGCTATGCTGTGAACAATCTGGAGGGAGAGATGTACCAGGACCATAGGAGATGAATCGGTGGATAACGAGGAGGCATGAGCAATGACAAACATCTTCACGAGTAATGAGAATAACATGGTGGCTCGAGACCCGCCACAATGCAGCCGCATGCCGTAGCCTGTACTAATTTTTGCCAGGGTACAGGCTTGTCGGGAGTTGGCGGACCAATTTTTGCCGGGGTTCAGGCTAGTCGGGAGTTGACAGTGCCCACTTTGCAGGACTCCCAAAAAACAGAAAGTGTGGGGGGGGAAAGAAAAAGAAAGAACCAGAAGGAGACAGACACGGGATGCAATTCAAACGAAGTCAATGAAGAAGCCTAACGGAGTAGAAATTTTAGAAGAACAAGTGGACCCGCCACGAGTGTGGGGAGGGAGAGGGAATGCGAGAGGAAGGAATGAAAATGGATGAATGATGCAGAAGAGAGCAATTGAACAGAATCCCACAATGCGGCCGCATGCCGTAGCGTGTACTAATTTTTGCCGGGGTACAGGCTAGTCGGGAGTTGGCGGACCTATTTTTGCCGGGGTTCAGGCTAGTTGGGAGTTGACAGTGCCTACTTTGCAGGACTCCCCAAAAACAGAAGGCGGGGAGCGAGGGGGGAAAAGAAAAAGAAAGAACCAGAAGGAGACAGACAAGGGATGCAATTCAAACGAAGTCAATAAAGAAGCCATATGGAGGCCAATATTGATGGGGGGACAGCAGATTGATGAAGGGGGGCAATAATTCTAGGCAGTGGACAGAAATTAATGGCAGTCAATCGTCCTGATACTGAGGGGGGATCAATGCTGTTAATCCTAACGATTTGATTTTATTTTATTAACTTTACACTGTTTACAGCAGATTGATGAAGGGAGGCAGTGATTTACGCCGATGCGAGGAAGGGAAATGGATGGCAGTCAATCCTCCTGATACTCAGAGGGAATCAATGCTGCGAGTCCTAAGGATTTGATTTGATTTTATTGACTTGCAAGCAGAAAATGAGCTGGAATGATGGCCCCTCGAACAGACCAGGGCTGTGACCATGAGGTTATTCTTTTCTGTTTAGTAACTTTAGTCGAGATTTCGAGCATAATCCCATTTTTTTCGCAGGGGCTATGCTAATTTTCTCTGTATCATTTCAGTTGTGAAGGACTGGATGATCTGATTACTCAACTCCTAACACTTTGGCGGCCATGTGCAGAGAAAGGAGTCAGAGTCCTCACTTCGGTGTGGGAAAACAATTTGGCTCGTCTTGGATCTGATTCTTCAGCATGTCAGTTGGAGAGTTCATGTGAGGAGTGGAGAATGGCTGCTGATCCGTGTCCATCTTCTGACATGAACAGAGCTGCCAGTGGGTGTTATGCAACTTCTTCTATCGAGATGGCAGTTGATGTGGGTGCAATGGATATTGTTCTCGGAAAACGGACCAATGGTGGAAGCAATCAAGTGTCATCAGTGGCGGCATTCGAGGTGCACTCCATTACTGCTGATGTTTGGCACAATGATCGGCAGGGACCGGGGCTTGCTTTGAGGTGGAAATCGGCCGATTTGCTGGATTTTATTAGCCCGTGTGCACACTATGACAACACTGTTCACTCCAGTGAATACTCTAGCGAGCAAGCGCAAGGAAGCCCTGCGCGCACAGGAAATGCATGGTCAGACACACCCCAGTCGATGGCAGGACTTGAAGGAGGCTCACAGAGTTTGGATAGCAGAGATTCTGCTGCCGATGAAGATCCTGGCTGCTACACACCTGATGATAGAAAGCTGGAGGAGCAATCCGACGAGGAAGAAAACATTGCGATAATGATGTTCCACTGTGGAGCAAGTGATAGCCAAAGCTTTGATAAGGAGGATTGGCCTGGAATTCGGTTGGATGGAGGAAGCCTGGAGAATGGGTTTGTGAGCTTGAGTGCGAAAATTCCTGGCACAGTGGTGATCATGCGCATGAAGGCCTGGGTTCACCTGCTGAATGTGCTCGTCTCAACATTTAGTAGGGGTGGCAAGGAACAGACAGATACTGTGAGCCGTGATGTGGAGTTGGGTTTGACCTCGTTCGAGGAAACAAACAGTCCACATTCGCTGAGGAAAGCGGAAAGCCATGGAAGTTTCATGGGACACTTTCTGCCATGGGCAAGCTCCTCAGCATCACTTTCAGAAGCACAATCACAAGGGAAAACAGAGCTACCAGAGGATGGGGAGGAGGTGGATGGCGAGATGGAGAGTAGAGGCGGCGAAACAGAAAGAGAGATTCCCTCGAGGAGCACAGGGGTAGGCAACTGCGGCATATGGCCAGGAAAGGGTATAATCCTCCAAGTTATGGCGAATGCAGTAGAGTTTCGAATACCAGACATAAGAAATACACGACTCAAAAGTAATGGACTCAGGCGAGGGAAGTCTGAGAATCTAATGAAATCGAGAGGTGCTGAGGTGGATGGCTATGCCAGCGATTTGGAAAGCGATGATAATGAATACCTCGATGATGAGATGGAGGACCAGCATGACATTGGAAGATGGTGGTGGAATCGGCAGTATGGCTGGGAAAAGTCTGGAGGAGAGGCGGAGGGGCAGTGGCCTGCTGAAGATGTGTTTTCTGAGAAGCCTTGGGACACTATGAAACAGAAAAGGGAAATTGTTTTAGTCGTTAATGCGGAGGTATTGTTCAAGCTCAAAGCCGAGTGTGAATCAACTGTCTCCGTCAACCTCTCCAGATTAGAAATCGTGACAGAGCAGCAGCAAGTGATGGATGATTCGTGGGGTGTGCCACGGAAGAGTCCTCACAACACATCACGGATGGTGCTGGCTCGCGCTGGGGAAATTCGGGCAAACGGAAAACTCGAAGCTATTTCGAAGAGGCTGTTGAGAGAGAACATGGAAATGGTAGACATTCACGGAGGATTGCAGGTTGAGATATTTGACTTCAGTGTGTTCTGCTCCTATCAGACCCTGAAGGCCTTCAGAGAGTTCAGATTTGAAGACATTTCAACTGATTCCAAACTTGTCGTTGCCTGCCGAGGTCAGCTGGCAGTGGATGCCGGACACATCTTGCTCCTCGTGTCTGATGGACAGGTATGGATGACCCACCTTTGACACTCCACTATGATATGGAATCCGTTCAGAAAGTAGGAAAGTTCTGTTGGTGTGATGTGAACAGTTCCTTTGACAGGGTGACAATCCATGTCCATCAAATTTTTCTATTAATCCACATAGGCTACCAGATGTCCGCATTCTGGAACACGAACTCCAGACCATCTGGATACAGATCCCAAAGTTCCAAAGGTAACCATGGAAAGAAAGCTATTGGATTTTTGGTCCCCAAGCCCCATGTGGGGCACGCCCGTGCGTGGTGCAGAGTGTGCCTTTTGTCAACAACAATGATGGTTTGCCTTGCTAATACCACAAAGAACTATTGCGGGTCAAATGTAGTATCATTGTGGTCTGTCACAAGTGTCGGACTCCAGTTAAATCCCAACCACACAAATGTTTATTGATTGATCAAGGAGCCAATATAGTATGCAGTGAGTAGCTCAAATCCTCCCGGCTTATGCAGCATTTATTTGTATAAATTCACTACCGAGTAGTACTGATTTCTGAGTGTCCATATGATCCTCCAATTCCACAATGTGTGTGTGGAGAGAGGAGAGAGAGAGAGAGAGAGAGAGAGAGAGAGAGAGAGAGAGAGAGAGAGAGAGAGGTTTTTCTTGGTCCTTATCTGTTTTGGTTCCCCCTGCGTCTGTATTGCATACTGTGCAGCCACACGGGCCTGCAGGGCCCGACCAGACGGAAAATAAGGGCCCTACAGGCCCTGTGTCGTTTCAGCCTAAAAGCCTGAAAACGAAGGCCATTTTCAGGCCCTCATAAAGTCGACCTGCCCTGAAACTCACGCGCCAGACCAGGGTTCAGCACAGGCCATTTTGGGGCCTGTTTCAAGACAACCTTTGTTTGAACTTCAACGCCAGGGTCTGGCACGTTTTGGCACTGGCAAGAGCAGCCTCCTGGATGGGCCAGCACTATATAGAACTGGCCCGCCCTGCAGGCTGCAGGTATTGCATAGGGACTTCCCAGGTAGTTCACGGGCACTTCACGTGCAGGAGGCCGGAGGCAGTCTTCAGGATTCGGCAGCAGCACTCTGGAGGAGCGCTGCAGTAGTAGTAGTAGCGTTAGGAGTAGTCTTCAGCGCTGGGCGCTATCAGGAGCTAGAGTAGCGTTGGAGAGAGAGAGAGGGTTGGCGAAGGCCTGGGAGACTTACCTGTGGCACCATCGCTCCAGCTTCGTCTTCGATGTACCTGCAACAAGGCGCCACCTTCACAGGTTAGTACCGGAGAGAGAGAGAGAGAGAGAGAGAGAGAGAGAGAGAG